TCTCAAGCTTGTTTTAGTCTTCATAGCTCCATATGTGTGAGCTTATTATCATAGCAGAAGAGTACCCCTGAATCATTCAAGAGCCTAGAGGGGAGATTTTCCAGTTTTTTTCACTTGTCATCTTTATTCATGCAGTAAATCTTTATTGCTGAGAGACCTTAGCAAATCACTTCACTACTCTGAACCTCCATATTTGTCTCCAACAGATGGGAAGTACCTCCCTAGATGTATTGTGAGGGTCAAGTGAGACAACAGATGAAGTGCTTGTGCATATGTAAGATATTCCTTCAAGGGTGAAAACAGAGCAATCCAGGTGTTTACAGGCTGAGTAGGACACAGACAGGTACACAAATACCACGATACAGGGTAGAATGTGGTAAGGGTCTTCAAGGATACAGAATGCCAAGTCCACAGCAAAATGGGAGTTTCTCACACATGGAATAGGTTTGGCAGGAGGAACTCTGGTGCGAAGGCTCTGCAGCCTGTTAGAGCAGCAGGAGCAGCAGAGAGCATTGGTGAGGCACACAGCAAGACCTTGGTTCTTCTCCAAAGGGATTTCCCCCTCCTGTACCAGGAGCATCCTCCTTGTCCTCCTGGTATCATGGTCAGTTGATTGAGTACTTCACATGTACAGGCACTCCAAGTACCAGAGAGGAAAAGCCACAGTCTTTATCCTCTAGGAGGTTATGGTTTGTCTGGAGACACACACAGGGTATAAGAAGTGCTGCCCAGCCTATAGTCACCCACCTGGTGTCAGAACTGGTTCCAGGAGCCCTGAGGGCTCTATTGAGCGTTCAAGGGCTCATTTCCTAACAGAAAAAGTGGACTATCGACACTAATGCCTACTCTAGAGGCAGAATGTCGTAAGTGGCTTAAAAGAGCTGAACCTACTTCACAGAATGTTCACAGGAGGGTCAATTGCTGGGTGAAACAGGTTGGTCTCCATATGAGAGGCAGTTCTGGAGCCAAACTCTGAAAAATAACTTAGGGAGTTGGGAAGATGGCACCTTTAGAGCAACCTAGGAAGCCCAAGGAAATGACCTAATGGATGTGCCCCAGGCAGGAATAGGACCTTCCTTGCATCAGAGAATGGGCAGTAATAACTTGTAAATTTGCTGTTTCTGTTTGAGAGCCTGCTAATATGCCAGAGGGGTTTTGCATATATTATCTCTAATCCTTAAAACCACTGTTTAAGGTAGGCACAACCCCCACTTTACAGATGAAGAAATGAGGTTAGGAGAGGATTTGCCCAAAGCTACAAAGCTAGGTGGTGGGGGAACCAGAAGTCAGACCTATATCTGCCTGGTTCCCTTCCAAGTACAAACCTGAGAATTTCAAGAAATATAGATGCTCCCAACCAAAACAAACCAGGATGGACCCAAAACTGCCACAGCCCTGCCTGTACAACATGGGCACCACCCATTACACACCTACTTCCAAACCTTTCCAAATCTGGTATAAACTCCCCACTGTTCCACTCAACTTGGCCAGTCCTATGCCCCGCCTCTATCCCAATTCCACCCACACTTAAAAATGATCTCCCTACCCCAACCCCCACTTTTCTCTAGCAGAAGGCCCGAGACATGTATGCAGAGGAGCGGAAGAGGCAGCAGCTGGAGAGGGACCAGGCTGCAGTGACAGAGCAGCTGCTGCAAGAGGGGCTCCAGGCCAGTGGGGACGCTCAGCTCCGATGGACACGCTTGCACAAACTATCAGCCAGACGGGAAGAGCGGGTCCAAGGCTTCCTGCAGGCCTTGGAGCTCAAGCGGGCTGACTGGCTGGCACGTCTGGGCACTGCATCAGCCTGAGGCTGGCCTCCTGCCACTTTGCCCTGCCCTCTATCTCCAGGGCCCCACTCCCCTTTCTTTTCTTGGTGAAAGGCACCTCCCTCTTGATGATGAATTGTGTTTCCTTTGCTTGGCAAGGGAGCCCCAAAGGCCAGATCTGCTGGCCATAGATACCTCTGGGCTGCTTGGGACAGTGCCCTGGGGAGGGTTGAGGGTGAGAGTCTCCCACAAGTACACTAAACCCAGCTCTCATCACCAATAGGTTTGAAGAGCAGGAGGACCCGGCACTTCTGCTGCCTGCTCCTTCCATCTTTTCCACCTCTACCAGTGCTCCTAGCTGCAGTTTCTTTTTCCACCAGCATATCCTTCAACACACAGAATTTCAGAGAAGTCTCCCCAAAACCCTAGCCCTTTTCCCATCCATCTTAGCCTCTACAAAAGATGTGGCTCCACCTTGGATCTGCTGGTAAATAGCTAATAGACAGCCAGCATTATCTGGGCAAGGAAGGGGAGGGAGAGACAGAAAGAAAATTTGCCCATCTGCTGCTCCTCCCCCTTGGCTCTCCACCTGGGATTTGCTATTGAATCTCTACCCCCTCCCACCACGCAGTGCTGATTGCTCACTGGAAGGCTCAGCGCCCCCAATGGCGCGCGGAAGCCAGGCGGGTGATTACAATCCAATTACCTATTGTCGACTCAGCCCACACAAGCTTTTCTCCTCCTCTTGCAGGGCATGGGGCCAGGGCTCCACTCCCCTGTGAGACTGGCCCCCTCCATGGCTACAGGGTAACAGAAGGCCTATAGGCCCTGGTGCATCTAATCCAGCACAGGCTTCCTTCCCTGGAACACATCAGGACCAAGAGCACAGAAACAAGCACTTCTCCCAAATTACTGCCTCCTGCCCTCAGTATCTCAGACTCTGCTTCCCACCTCCTCAGGCTTTGAGGCTTCTCTTGGCTTTTGACCTGGCCCCCTACGTAGGCCCTGAGACAATTTATTCTCAGCATGGCAGGGTCTCAGCTTGTGAGGGCCAAGGCTGCCCAGCAGGGACAAGATAACCAAGTCAAGGGTTGTGTCCTTTCCCTTACCTCTCCCAGCCAGGCCTCGCTGCAGAGCTGCTGAGAGGATTAGTGTCTTTGAAGAGCTGTCTGCCTGAGCAACTCTGTGCTTCAGGTTCCCCAGAGCAGCGAGCACTAGCCAGTAATAACCAAAAGCTACTCTGTTAGGTCTTCCCATTTTACTTTCTGCAAACTGTTTTCCCAGCACCTCCCTCTAGGGGAGAGTTGGGGTCTTGCAAGCAGTGCTAAGAGCGTGCTCTAAAACCCCTAACTTCCATATACTCCAGTCTCCTCCTCCCCTTCCTATGCCTGTATACCTGGCACAAGAGACCCCTTGGCCATCATCCCTGCTCTTAAAATCTAGCATAAATGCCAGACACTGCGATTGAGAAGCCAATCAATGCACCCTTTGGCAGGTCCCCCGTGCACACCTGGCACTCCCCACTACCAATCCCTGGCACAGGGTTCCCAGAGAGCAGGTGCTGTACATTTTCCAGCTTTACAATGGGGCTGTTGACAGCCTTAATTAGGGAGGCATAAATTATGCCGCTATAATGCAGAGCCCTACAATTAAGGCGGGAATGAGGGGCTGGAGGCAGCAAATGGAATCGGTCCTGTGAGCATGATTGTTGAGTCCTATCCCCTCTGTGTGTCTGACTTTCCCTAATACGATCAGGGTACAGCAGAGGTGATTAATGGGGCTGGTATCTTTCTTCAGCCTGAGGACCTGTATTCTGGGAAAGGTACAGAGTCGGGTGGGGTGAGGAGGGGCTGCCCCAAGAGGCACGGTAGGTAATGGAAAGTAGTAAGGCTAAGGGAGCATTGCTGCCCAGGAACAGGGACTGCAAATAGTTAATATAAACTCATTATGCTTACTTTATACCCATGTGATTTGTACAAACCAGCTAAACCCTTGCCTCAAGAAATTAGGTGGGTCCTATTTAAATGTCCTCCCACCTGTGAGCCAAGCCCCCCACTTGAGGATATTTATCCTGTTCTTGTGTTCTCTTGGGTGTCAAAGAGAATTTTAAAAATTCTTAGATGTAAAATTTGTTTGCTAACAGTGCAACAGAAGAAGACCGTGTTTTGCTGCTGTTGTCTACCCCTCCCTCAGGTGCGCTAGGCTACCTCTAGGATCCCTAGCTTTGGGGACAGGGTAGCCCTGGAAGAGCCCTTTTGCCATCCATCGCAACACCTGTTCCTCTGCTTGTTTCCTAATCCCCGGACGCTTTCCTCCACGCTCCTTTTCCTCGCGTAAGTGAAAGGAAGCCAGCCTGCCAGTGTGGAAGGAGGGATTTCGCCAGCTGCGTTTGCAGCTCCCAGGCTTGGTGGCCGTGTCGGGTGGGGGCAGCTGAGCTTTAAGTCTCTGAAGCGGGTGGAGCTTAGGGGGAGGGAAGTGCCAGTAGGCCTTCTTGGCGGCCACTCTCCATCATTCTGTGGCGGGGTTCTGAGGTCTGAGAATACAGGGGCAAAAGGGAGCCGCCCGACAGGCTTGTGGGGGGCTTCGTTGGCATTTGGGGAGGCGGCTGAGCAACGGTGCTGAAGGGACAGCTCCTACCTGCCCCACTGCACCCGAAAGGCACCTCCGCGTGTAAAGTCTCTTCCTCGAACCCCCCCCCCACCAACTTCGAGTGGACCGCCTTCTAGGTGAGGTGCATGAAAGGCTTCCTCCGAGTGGCAGTTTGGAAGGATGCACGTCCGGCTGCGCCAAGCTGGTTTCCTTGCTTTTTACCCCACTTCAGCGTCAGCCTTGGCGCTGGAAACTGCAGCCGTGCTTCCAAGCCGCGCGCTTCCTCCCGCCTCCAGCGGATAAGGGCAGTGCAGCCAGGCCTAGCAAACCCTTCTTCTGGGGCCCCCAGCGGGAACAGGAAGGAAAGCTGCTGAGATGAGCCCTAAGTGTCGCACGGCTTGAAGTGGGTAGCTCGGTTGCATAAGGTGGAAGGAACTTGGTAGTTTGCAAAAGCCAGCTCTTGGCGGGAGCCGAAACCCGGAGCCAGCCGACTCGCACCACCCCCAGCTCATTTATTGCCTTTGACGCGCGCCTCCCCCACTGCGCCCCCACCCCCTAGGCGCCCTGCCTTCTCGCGTGCCCTCCCCCCCATACCCCCCTCCTCACTCCCTCCAGAGGAGGTGAGTTTAAACCCCGCCCACGTGACCCCAGCTGGGCCAATGAGCGGCGGCGGGAGGTGAAATCCGGTTCTAACCGGTCCGGGGCTCCCAGCGCTATAAAAACTTTATAAACCCCCCGGAGCCCGAGCAGTGTGAAGAAGAGGCGAGAGCGACCCCTGGACCGACCAAAGCCCGCGCGCCACTGCATCCCCGCGTCCAGTGTCTACGTCCCACCGTCGTCGCCACCATGCCCAAGAGAAAGGTACGTGGCGCGAGGGCCCCAGGCGCTGGGCCGCCGCCGCTGCCGCCGCCACCACCAATGCTACTGCCGCCGCTTCCCCGGCTTTAGGACGCAAGAATTGGCGCCGAGCTGGAGCAGACTCAGCCGCCCGGCGCGGTAGCTCGAGGCGGTGTCAGGCGGCCCGGGGCTAACCCTCCGCAGCTTGGCTGCCCGCGGGCGCCAGAGGCCATATTGGAGGAGCGGCGGCCGCGGCGGGAGGAGCCATGTTGGCGGCTGTTTATCGCGCTCCCCTTGGGCTCGACGTGCCCGCCCCGCGCCCTCTCCCCCTCGTCTCCAGGTCCCCTCCCCTCCCCGCGGGCGGGCAATTCAAACCCGTAAGGGCGGGAAGGCGGTGTTTGGGGTTGGCGGGCGGGGGATCGCGCTGCCGCCAAAAAACCGCCGCCGTGAGGGGGCGGGGCCCGCCCCTGGGGTGGGGCTTCGCGGTGTGGCCCCACCTCCGCCCGC